ATGAAAAACTGAGCCAAGCTCCTGCCTTCCTCGCTCACTTTCTGCTTCCTGACTGTAGATACAGCAAGACAGGCTCTTGGCACTGTAATTTCTTCACCACAATGGACTGTACCCTAAAACTGTGAAGCAGAATAAACAAACCCTTCCTTATGGTGTTTTTATGCCATAGTAAAAGGAAAAGCAACAGGCTTCTAATACACCCAGATGAGCCTGGAGAAATAGAGCCAAGGTGGTGTCCCTGATCTGGAAGAATCCGGGGCTGGGCTTTTCTAGGCTTATCTTTCATGTGTTAAAAATAATAAAAAATGTCTGGGTTGCAGCTCAGTGGTAGAGCACTTGGATAGCAGCCACGAAGCCCTGGGTTTTACCCCAGCACCGTAAAACAGGTGAATAAAAGCAGAAGTTGGGGAATCCTTCAAGGCAGGAGAGCATCACTGCACTTCGAATGTGGCAAATGTGGCATGTTCCCCGTGAGCATCTGGCTCCCAGCTGTCAGTGCAGTTTGGGGCGGGGAGGGGGATGGTGCTTAGGGTGGACTCCTGAGGGTCATTGTCGCTGGTATCTCTCACACACTCCCTGCTTTCTGGCCCCAGCCATGCACATGGGCTCCTTGGCAATGACCTCAACTCCCTCCCCACTTTGAAGGACCCAGCCCTCAGACTGTGAGCCTGAGCAATCCTTTTGACCCTCAACTGTCCCATCAGGGACTGCAGCCACAGAGATGCTAAAGTAACAAACATACCTGCAGCAGGTTCCACCTCTTAATGCTGTCATATTTGAGGTTAAGATCGATCACGAACCATGTAGGAGACACAGCCCCAGGGGTCCTAACGGCAGAATGAAAGAGCCTTAGTGGTCCTTAGGACAAGTCTTCTGTCATCATCCATACATTCCCCAGAGTGCACAGACGGTAGAACCAGCCCTAACAAGGCGTCTGGTGACATGCAGTTTAATTCAGGGCCAACTGCAGATGGCAGCAACAAAGGGGAGAGAGGTCTCCTCCCTAGATGGTTTCTTTGCCGCTCCTCTCAGGCTCCTGAGTGCAGTCACGCTCGGTTTTCTGCTATTCACAGGGAACTACACAGATTTCTAGAAACCTGGAGATGTGCGGTGGCTGGCAAAGATGGACGCAAAGGGTGGAGTGGTGGTGTGCTGGGTTCTTAATGCGCGTGGAATGGGATTAGCGCTGCCTGGAATCTGGGCTCCTGCTGCTGCTCCTGGGTGCCTTGCCTGAGGGTTGCCAGAAATTAGGAACCCATCCTCTAGGCCTTCGGAGTGTTGAGAAAGATGCCCTGGCTAGCTTCCACTGCATGGGTCCCAGGCAGGGAGTGGGGGTGGGAGTGGGTGTGGGTACTGACTAGTGTCTCTGCATGCTGCTTCCTGGACCACACTGGGCCTCACAGGCCTACCCTTAGTCCACTCCAGGCTTCAGTGGTGAAATGGAAGCCAAGTGCCTTACGAGAGCGCAGAGCCCCAGCTGATGAAGTCAAGTGCTTAGAGGGGGCCAACCTCATGCCCAACAACACAGACAAGGGTCACTGCCACCTCTGCGAGATCACCGGCTCCTCTCTTGCCTCCACCTTCTGCATGGAAAAGGGGAGACAGTGAGGTCACCATGGTGCAGCACTTATGCAGGCCTACTGTGCGCAGAGACTGGAACCAACTCTCCTCATGCTGGGAGGCAGAACTTGACAGGAAGGGACCAGAGCCTCGCCCTCGCCCTCGGTTCACATGGTCTTACCACCCTCTTTCCACTCTGACACTACAAGGTTTCAGGTGACTGCTTCCCCTCACAGAGCCTTGGTGCAGCTTGGTGGAGCCGACGATGTGGGGCTGGGGTGTCTGAGAAGTCAGAGTGCTTGCTGGCATGCTCAGCCCCAGGTTCCATGACTAGCACACACAAACAGGGGTGGCCATGCATGCCTTCAATCCTAGAGCTTGGGAGATGATCAGGGTCATTCTTGGTTTACATAGAGAGTCTTGGGCTAGCCCAGCCTGGGTTACGAGAGACCCTATCACAAAAAAAAAAAAAAAAAAAAAAAAAAAAAAAAAACAGAACAAAAATCGCACTACACTAAGGCCCCTTGGTCAGGGTCCCCGGCATGTTCCTCCAGTCCTCACCTCCCTTCCCTCGATCTGTTCCATTCCACCAGAGTCTGCTTCCAGCAGTTGCCTGTAATTAGATTAAGTAGAATGGAATCACAGATGCCTTTTGGTTCAGAGACTACTGGGTAATTTGTTTGTTTTTTAACAAACCAAAATAAAGAATTGATATGCACAAACAAGCCCATTTTAATGGGATTAAGGGGAGGGTTTGGACTTTAAAGCACAAAGGGTCTGAAGAAGGAAGGGCTACTGGAGACTCCGGCCTTTCCTTGTGCACCTCGCTCCCATCCTCCTGCACCCAGCCCCAGCTTCCTGCTGAGCACATTACAGGCTGTGTTCCCTAGGAGTCTTGGAAGGACGTGAGCTAGCAGTTTCCCTCAAACATCTCCTTCCCCAATTGCTTCGTTCTCTGCCACTTGATAAATGGCTCAACCACTGGCTTTGGACTCAGACTGAAGGTCTGTGTCCTGGCCCCACCTCCTTCCAGTTCTCAAAAAATCTACTCCAGCCGCTGTACTTCAGTGCCCTTTGTGGTGGAAGGAGGTGACAGTAGGGTCTGTGTGGGAATGCCTGTTGCCCACCGCTGTGGCAAATCACCCCCCACTTCACAGGTTCGCCACAGCGGTGGCCTTAGGACAATGGAGGAAGGGCAGAGGGAGGGAGGGCAGAAGTGAAATGCTAGCTGGAGGGAGACCTGGTGCACTGAAGAGGCTGACCCCAGCAGGTGTGACCTACACTCTCTTTCGTGGTGGGGGAGGTGTCAGTCCAGCCTCCAGCCTGAGGGACTAGGGATGGAATTTTGGAGTTGATGGTGTTAATCCCAAAGATGGGTGGGAAAAGACCAGATCATCGTGGCCAAATTCATTTAAAGCAAGCAATTAATTAGAGCAAACTTTTTAATTTAATTTAATTTTTTTTTTCCAAGACAGGATTTCCCTGTAGTTTTAGAGCCTGTCCTGGAACTAGCTCTTGTAGACCAGGCTGGCTTCGAACTCACAGAGATCCGCCTGCCTCTGCCTCCTAAGTGCTGGGGTTAAAGGCGTGTGCCACCACCGCCCGGCTTCAGTGCAAGCTTTTTTTATTCATGTACATGGACTGCCTCCCCCTAAGACGGGGTTGGAGAGGTCGACACTGGGTGTGAGGAAGACAAGGCTTTTATAGCTCAGGGGTAGGGGGTTTCCGAATGGGGGAAATGGGCAGGGTTACAGGAGCAGCACGTAACAGGTAGTCAAAACAAGGTCATCACAGAAGATAGTCATAGGGGCTCATGTAACCTTTTCAAACAAAGGTTTACAAGATGGGTATAAGCAACTCGATGAAAACAAGACACGGTGGCCATTCCTGTAACCGGCAGCACAGAACCATTAGTAGTTAAGGTTCTAAGTGGGGCTAGCCCAATCCTCAGGAGACAGATATCATCAGAAACAGGACTGAACCTAGCTTGTCTTTACTACAAGATGGCTTTTAAACCTGAGATGAAGACAGGCTGGTTCTTCAATGGGATGGGCCTTGGAGTTTGAATAGGAGGGGCCACAGCTGCTCCTCCTTAAGTATAATCCAAAGAGGTCCTCCTTCTTCCCTTCCCTGTCCCTCCCTCCCTCCCTCCCTCCCTC